TTAGTTTATGCCGAAAAAATTAATATCATTAAACAATTAGAAGAAAAAATATTAAGCTCTGTACAACAAATTAATTTAATTTTGCACAAGTTTACAGTTTACTTGTTTCGCTTTTCCAGGAGTGCATAAACGTTGTACATGCATGTGGTGGGCTTTTTAAACATTTGTTGTAATTTATTTTACAATATACTTTATTTATTTATATTTGAAAATCATTTAATTATCTACTTATAGGAGTAGATAAAGTATAGTATTACACTCGAGGATATGCGCATTATCTCTCGTATATAATATACTATACAAATTATTTCCTTATAAAATATGTATTTTATGTTATGATTATAAAAAGTAATATTTTAAAATATATTTTTCTTTAAAATTGAACTGTTAAATTACGGTTTTAGATCGATGAATCCTACATTGAAATTAATTCAATTCTAAATTATATAATTTTTAATATACAGGGTGAGTTTTAAGTTGACGCGTTCCTTTTAACAGCGTGTAGAAATTAGATAGACAAATAAATATTTTAAGTAACTTTTTTATTAAAACTCAAAAATAAGACCCAGTAAGCACCAAACAGTCGGCCTTCGCTCGGCATAGGCGGTTCACCGGCGGTTCGGCTTGCCCCCAGTCGTCCCGCTTATGGCTTGCGTTATGTTAGCCCGGTACCGTTTGGCCATGTTCTAACTGAAGTCGGCCAGAATACGGCATGCCGCTGCAAAATCGTTCAGCTTGCCCTAGCCGGCCCGCTTACGGCCGGAATACGGCCTGCCGCTGCATAAGCAATACATCTCACGGCTGCTTACGCAAGCAAGCTAACTATAAATAGCGATGGCTTGCAATACTTAGTTGGAAGTGTGCGTCTGTAATGGCATAGCTGAACATTAATTGTTTGAAGTCCCCATATCCATCCTCATCTGCTCAGTAACGAATAATGGCTAGCTATAGTCGATCCAGGACGTCTGAAGGCTTTTTTTGAATTGCCAGGCTGTTGTGGCCGGCACTCGGCCAACTATACACAGCCGACACTCGGCCGAGTAAACATAGCCGACATTCGGCCAGGCGGACATGCCCGGTCTACACGCCGGAACAAATACATGTGTCGGGCCGCACGCGGCCGATTCGGCAAAACGTATTCGGGCCGTCTAGCTTGTGCTTACTGGGCCCAGTAAGCACAAGGTACAGATGTCCTGAAGAAGGTATATCCTAAGTTCAGTCCTGAAATTATCTGAATGGTAAGATACTTCTTTAACACACTCGACTAGCTAGACATTATTCGTTACTGAGCAGATGAGGATGGGCGGGCCGGCTGGGGCAAGCCGAACCGCCGGTCAACCGCCTATGCCGAGCGAAGGCCGACTGTTTGCCGTTTGGTGCTTACTGGGAAGGATTTTAAAGAATTTCGATATATGTTTTCGAGAAAAACAAATCGAAAATCAACAAACGAGGATATATTTCATCGTCTTTTAATTAATATCATCTGAACACCTAATAACGTTACTTAGGAGAAATGTAAAAATTTGTAAAATATCAGCTTGATGAAGAAGTTAAGGAATTATTAATGGAATAAATTATGTTTATCTCCACGCGGTCTATAATTTAAACTTTATTGTTGTCAACATTCGATAAAGAAATAACTTGTTATGGCCTAGGCCGATAAAAAATTTTATGAGGCAAGTAATTAGTTTGATTTTTTCTCGCTAGGGGTATTGTTTTGACAAATTAATCCTTTTCTAAGAAATTAACGTACTAAACTGGTTTAATTTATTTATAATAAGCACTAATTTGTTTGTTTTACTGTTAATGTTTATTATTTTTCATTAAATTATTGTAAAATTAAATATGAATAATAGAACAAACAGTGAGGTTAGGACATTGCAATTTGACGTTTCTGTGGATTTCACAGTTGTGTTTTCTTTTTCTACGATTTAAATTATCTTTAAGTTTTAATTTGCTTTAAGTTTTCAGTGAAATTAAATGTTAAACACAGCGTAAAAATTCCAAACTACCTATTTTTTTAATAAAAATGCAAACAAATTGAAATTAGATACCTATTTATTAAACAATTAATTGAATTCAATGTAATAGCAAGAGGGTAAGTAAACCATTTTCTTACAAAAATCCATTTCTACTTAAATCATGTAGCTAGGTATTGTCAAACTATTACTGCTTCTGAAAGGAATAATAATTATTGTACATAATGTAATCTTTAGCTAATAAATAAATGAGATTCTAAAAAGTGAGGTTAGGCCGCTTTCATGTTGAATTAAATTGATCTATATAAAGTGCTTTGAAGATAAAATGTTGTATGCCATTCGGCCAAGAAGTGTCTTTTTGTGCTTCGCTCAATTGTAGGCCTCCGCTACGCGTCGGCCTTCAAACTTTGAGCTTAGCACAAAAAGCCTAATGACATAAATAACTATTATTTATTTCTTAAAGTGTGCTTAGTTAACGAAATGAAAAAAAATTTCGTAAACTTATAACACCCTACAAAAATTGCGTTATTTTACAATATCACAGTATTTTATCTAGGACGAACTCAAAGAAGAATTTAAAGCCAATTTAATTTGTTAAACATTTATTATATCAACTATCAACGGATTTAACCTCACTTTTCCCCAATTTAAAATAAAGCCCGTGACTAAAATACCCAAAAGCCACTATTGCTTACTTCAGCCCGTGACTAAAACGCCATAAAGTCACAGCTCGTCAATGTAGGAGTAGATAGTTATATATAATATGTAAGTCAAATCACACCTTCAATGCTGTGTGTATTATTTTTTTCCATTTTGTGGTGTATTTTTGTTTATTGTTAAGTCTTAATATTAATATCTAAAGGTCGATGGAAAACATTAAAATCTACACAATAAAAATCTACATAATAAAGAATATTATATTAGGTGCGTTTGAATTGTTTAATGTACTTACTCCTTTTATTAGGTTTTAAAAAAATATTTAAAAACATTCAATTTAAAAAAAAAATAATTTAAAAAAAAATATTACATTTTTAAATCACAATTAAATGGGTGCTCTGAACAATTTAAATGCAAATATCTTGAAAACGGTTACTCGCAGCGACATTTAGGATTTCATGTAATAAAGATAAAAAAGTAATATTTTTATTAAAAAACGGGAATACAAATTAAGGCGTAAAAATGATGTGACCATTTAAATACATGTAAAGTGTCGCAAACAGCGCCCTATACAACCCACATTATTTTTTTAAAGAAATGTAATTTTCCCGGCCCGAAAAAAACCTAAATATCAAATGTTGTGAAGACGTTTGGTGTTTTTTAATAATATTGAAAACGAACTTTCAACTTTAAACTTGGTTATTATCAACTTTTGTATTAAATTAAATTTAGTTATATTGCATTATTTTGGTTTTAGGAACATGTACAGGCATTTTAGGGACACCTTGAATATATTCGAGTTATAAAAAATGGCGAATGCGCCGGGATACGTTTTTTTTTAAATCACTATTACAAGGATCCGAGTGGTGTTTTGCTCAGCTTTATCTTTACTGAAATTCCAAAGTATTTTTATGCACTTATTATAAAAATAGCCAAAACAACCTTTTAATCATTAGAAAAGCGCTAACTTGGCAACACAACTCAATCTCATATTATTTCTGTTCGAAATTAGATAAGAAAAATTGAATATCCGTATGAATGTAAACAAAACGTATTTGCTATTGTTTTGTTTTTAAACATCTTGTAATTCTCTCTTTTTCATTTTGACCTCGGCTGTCGATTGAGACAGTCAAGTAAATGGTTATTTTAGAAACCTACATTAATTTTATCTGAAAAATAATAAAGAGACTTCTTAAAATAAACAGGCCTTAATAAATTGTTTGCCTATAACAATTTTAATATTTTGGTTAAAGCTAAAAACATTAATATTTATATTTATAATAAATAATTATTTTTGCCGTCCAAATAAAAATAATAATAATTAATTTTGGATGCTAGTGCTCATTCAAAATTATGGACAATTAAAGATTGTAATGGTTTGATTTTCAAATTTTTAGTGCATTTGTCAATGAATTGTCAAAGTTTTTATACCAGAAATAACAGTATCTGATTATTTTGTTTAGTTATAACTATGTATATAATTATAGTTATAAATATGAAAATATTAATTGTTTCAATTAAAAATATTAGTATAAAACAACTTAAAATACATTAATGGTATATTGGCAAATAAATTTATAAATAAAGGCAAAGTATTGTTTGTTAAACGATTATTAAAAGTAAAAAGTGGGGTTATATAGACCTGAAAAAGTCGATTTTTTAATTATCCATAATGAATTTTAGGCCAATCGGGTTAGGTTATTTACCTCTAGTCTTTAAAAAACCCGTTTTGACCAATTTATAATAAGAATAATCATAATTATTATAATTGTACGTTTAACAAAATATTATACCTTGAAGATAAAGTGTTGTATGTCATGCGGCTGAGAAGTGTCTTTTTGGGCTTCGCTCAATTGTAGGCATTTACTACACGTCGGCATTCAAACTTTTAGCTCAGCCTTATAATCTGAGTAACTATTCTAAAAATATTATTACAAATTGCCTTGTATTGGTTATTATTATAATAAATGCTTATAAGCATTTAGACCTTTAAAAATTTGGAAAGAAGTACTGTATTAAAGTTAAAATCTCAAATATATTAGGAGTAATATTACTAGGGTTTTTTATCTGTAATAACCCAAATAAAATATATGTTTTGACAGAGTTTCAAAAGTTAATGTTATTTTCTTGTCAAACTAAAACATTGTTTCCATGGTGTATTTATGGCAGTTTATTAACAAATACAAAATTTAAATCATAATAAGTTTATGGTAATAAACAAAAGTTAACTTTATATTTTTTATACATTGCAGCATTATAAAAACTAGAGAATCAAAATTGTTCATATATCATTATTAATGCTTATCATATTAATGTTTGCATTTTTATTTTAGACATTTAATGGTATGATTCTACAAGTTCTACCTTAAAATTAAATATTTGATTGGATCCTTAATCACCATGCTTCGTACTAGACACATTCGAAATATAAGCACTGGTACACAATGTGACATCACCAAACGCACGAGACGTGTCGAGAGAATACACAGCCTAAAAGGTTACGAAATACCCGCAAAAACTAACACACACTCAAAAATTCTGCAATCGGAACATCACCGTGCGACGACGTGGACTCGCGCTTGACATGTGGGCCGATATCCCGGCCGCCTATGTGTTTTATAGTTAGCGGGACCCAAAGGCCAGCTGATATAAGAAAAGAAATGGCAGAGGTCGGGATTCCAGAGATCCTCAAACCTAAGAGTTGATGAGATAAGGCTTTTTGGGTTATTTACTCAAATATATGGGACTACTTCGTATCGTTTTTGTTTGGGACCAAAAGAAAATGAATATGATAAGACTTATCAAGATAAGTGGATGTGTCGGAGGAATGCTAGCCGATAACACCTTTTCTAAAATATTAATTATTTTATACCTTATAGGTACTATATTTGATAATAATTAACAAATTATTACAAAATGCAGTGGGTTTATGTGCAAAATTATGTTTTTAAAGCTAATTGTTTATAAAAAAAATACTACCTACCTACCTATAGTTTTAATGGTTCCTTACAGTTAGTAAAAACGTTATATTGTATAAATAATTTTAATAAATTTTCAAATTTTTACCTAACTTATAAGTTATATATAAAGTCCTAATAATGTCCTAATGCAGTGGTTTCTTATGCTTTTTAATCTAATTTGATTTTTTTAACTAAACTCTTCTATTCATTTCTGAGCCTGATAAGCCTATAGTACAAACATTGCACTGCCATGAAGAAGAATCAAACATGTAAGTGCGCCGCAAACTAAAAAAGTTTACGAATGTAATTCTTAAAATTGTCTGGACCGTCTTAAAACTTATTAAAATTGCTAAAACTGTTATTAAACTACCTTTTTAATTAATACTTTTTAATAACTCGATTTCTTGAGAGTTTGCACTAATTTTGTAATCGATTTAAGTTACCGATGATCTAGAGACTTGAAACTTTAAAGTATAGTACCTATATATAGGGACTTGTAACAAAACCTCGTATAGAAACGAAACTCCATTTCAGCCGTTATCGTTCCGAGTAATATAAAAACATAATTAGAAACGAAATATTGGAAACCGTTCCCAAAAAGTAACAGAAGAGTAACGAAACTTTATTTGACAAAACAGCCGGGACTCTGAGCAGAACCAAAACACCGGGTATGGAAACGAAACCAGCAACGCCACTTAAGTAATAAAACGAAATTGTAATGAATTCTATGGAAACAATACTTTAGTATATATATATATTTGTGTTAAACATTCCTCCTAGTGTAACCATTCATGAATTTGAATTATTTTTTGAGCTTTTAGAACAAGTTATTCTTCACAAAGAAAATGTTATTATTCTTGGTGCACCAGTCATGACTTCAACTGTCCAAATAAAATCAATGATTGTACTAAATCCATATTGCTTAATAATTTTATAGACTTTCATAGTTTTAGTCAAGTAAATCAAGTTCATAATATGTATAGCAATAAATTAGACTTAATTTTAACGATTTTTTTTAATACGAGTATAAATGTTATTGAATCTGATCCTTTAGTAAAAATCCTTCCTTCACAGAGAAAAGTAATCTCTTGATTTAAAAAAATGCATTTATTTAAAACAGTTTTTCTTGTATGAAGTAAAATTGTCTTATTCGTAGTAACTTCTTGTTTACAATACTTAAGAAAATACTATTATTTGGTTGTAAATCATCAGTTTCTTGAAAACAACTTATTGTTGTGATTAATTGTAAAGAAATATTTATTTAGAGCAATTAATTAAATTGTTTGGATATAGGTTGTATGAATTTAGTTTTATCAAATGTTAATACAAGCATATAATATCTTATTTTAACAAAATAATAGAATTGATACAATTTATGTCATATAATTAACGTAAACACGTGATTTGTTTGTTTCAAAAATACATTTACTTGAAGCAAATACATATTTATTTGCTTTTATGTCCACGTGACTCACGGAGCCAATTAGAGCATTTGCCTCCAAAGACAAAGACGCTTGCCCGGCAGCATTTGCAAACAAACTCGAAGAGCGTCCTTGGCAGAGCGCTAAGAGAATAAGGTGTTTAATCAAAGGTTATAGTTTTGTGTTTAAGTGCTTATGTTTAATAGTATGGAAGAATTCTTCAAGGAAAATAATTTAACCCATTTGCTTCCCAGTTTTGTTGGTAAGTAAAAGTGTTTTAGTTAGGTAATTACCTAGGTAGTTTGCAAACTACAAAGTTATATGATAATATGGGTACCTATTTTATTTTGGATCATGCATGTCTCAGACTTGACTTGTTACTTTTAAATATAATTGCACATTTTACTTACAGGCCATAAACTAAAAATAAACCGTTTCTTTTTGTTTTTGACAAGTGCAAGTAATTTTGGTTAGCAAACTATATGTATTTGTTTTTAAACTATAGGTACCTAGGTAGGTGTTTTCAACAAAGATACCTATCTGATAATAATAAATTAAGTTTTTGAAAATGTGCAAATGTTTTTGTATATTTTGTGTAGGTTTTTATTCAAGATTACTTCCATTTGCGGCTACGAGTAAGGGAGTGATTTATTTTAAAATAAAAATGCCATCATCCTTTTCTGTTTTCTAAATTTATAATCACTACCTATTTCTATTTATAAGTTTTGAATCACTATTTCAGATGAGCATGTCGATATGGATGTATTGACAGGCCATTACACCGAAGAACTACTCGATAATATCAGTGGATTGGCGATTGGGGACAAACTAAGGCTAAAAATGGCCATAAATAAGTATAAAATGAGTGTAAGTCTACAGTGTGTTTCACTTTTTTATTTAATAGAGATGAAAGGAGTTAAACAAATTTTCAAGATTTCGATAATTTTCAAAATTTGCACCTGATCAAAATTAATTTTTTTTTAAATTTGGAAACGTTCTGCGGTGCACAACCATTTTTTTCTTACCCAAATTAGGGGATTTTTAAGATAAAAAGCCGCTTTTTTTCAACAATATTTTTGGTAATTTTTTTCACCTATTAGAACAGTTCCGAGGGGCGGCAAAAGCAATTTTTTTGAACGCCATTAAAGTCCATCCTAATAAATAATATAATGATATATTATTACCTTTATATATATTAGCTTACCAAGTATTGGATGCTAAATATTCTTATGAGTGCCAGCACTTGTGGCTATTAATTTAATGGCATATTTATAATTTAAAATGTAAATTTGATCCTAAGGTTCCCTTTATCGAAGACATAAGATTCTAAAAAAATAAAAAAGTGTGCACCATTGGCCAACCCAGCATTATATTTTTATTTAGTTGCTCATATAGCTGATTTTTTGTTTCTATTTTTGTTTTATAAAACATATTTATATGTTTTTTTAATGTTAATTTTATATTGTGTTTTTATAATGTTTTATAATGTTTATGTATACACAGTGTGTATCAGTGGCGGCTGGTGGATTTTGGGTATACCAATATCTCAGTTATCAGACATGGGACCCACACAAAATTTATAATAGTTTATAAAGACATTAAATAGACAAGTTAGGCGCAAACAGAATTTAAATTTAAGTTTGCGAAAAAAAGTTAGTTTTTCGTGTCGCCTCACCCGCCTTCTCGCATTTAAAATCGTATAAAATCTGTAATATTTAGATTTTTTAAATATAATTTTAAATTTGTCGATAAATTATAATAGAATATAAATTGCACCACTTTAATTTAAATTATCACAAATAGGAGGGCCAGAAAGCGGGTGAGGCGACACGAAAAACTAACTTTTTTTCGCAAACTTAAATTTTAATTCTGTTTGCGCCTAACTTGTCTATTTAATGTCTTTATAAACTATTATAAATTTGGTGTGGGTCCCATCATGGGACTCCCATGTCTGATAACTGAGATATTGGTATACCCAAAATCCACCAGCCGCCACTGGTGTGTATACACACATTGTATACACTTAGTGTACTACACTAAGTCTTAGTGTATTTTATTAATGCCGTGCATTAATATTTACACTGAACTTCAGTGACTGTTCCTATTTTTGTCCGCTCATATATTATATGTTTTGTTTATTGTTAATTTTATATTGTGTGTTTTTAATGTTTATTGTAAATACGTATTTACAACAAAACAAGTGTACACTTGTTTTGTTCAAATAAAAAATATTGGAATAAACGTTTTTTAATTTAATTTTCCCGCCCAAATATCAAGTAATTAACAACATTAAAATAAATAAATCGTAGTATTAAAACAAGCAAACATTTGTTTGGTTCATTTACTATATATTTCGTGAAATTATAATATTAAAAGGTACTAATTATTTGTCTGAAATAATTTTTTTTCTTCATAAGTAAATATTTTGTTTCTTTAAGAGAGCTTCACATTTAATTTAAAAAAATGAATTACTTACTTCAAGTGAATGTTTTGTTTCTTTAAGTAAGATTCTACTAAACCTGAGATAAAAAGTCAACTAAATATTTACTTTTATTAACCAAACCATCAGTTTAAAAAGTCAAATAAACTCAAGTTTTCCACTAAATAAATATCTTCTTGTATCATATCGAAATAAATAATTTATTTGAGTCAAGACAGATATAGTAAAATCAAGAGATTACTTTTCTCTGTGTTGCTGGCTACTTTTTAATTAAAAACCTTACAATCTGAAATTTTGCATTTAAATGTTGTAAAAAGTACAATTTTAGAAAGGCTGAGTTTATTGGTTTATATAATGCTTTTTTAAACACAAATTGGGATTTTATAGATGATTGTTGTGACAGCGACTCAGTTTTAGATTTGTTTTATGGTAAGTTGTATGAAATTTTAAATGCTTTTGTTCTTAAGACACCTGTTGGTAAATCTAAATATCCATTTTGGTATTCAAATATCCTAATTGTTAACTGTTTTAGAGACTACTTCGGTAGTGTATATGAAAATCCCAATCCCAATATAAATTTTAATATTACCAATAATAACTTGTTTAATATCCAGGTCTCAATATTGTCTGAATTAGAGGTTTGTCAAGCCATTAAGAAAATAAAAAGCATTTTTACGACGGGTGATGATCTGGTTCCTGCATTTTTACATAAGGATTGTACTCAAGTATTTGTTACGCCATTAACTAAGATTTTTAA